CCTATTGTGTTCAATAGTACATCATCAATGTATTCTACACAATCTAACACAAGTCAATTTGCGTTTGATGATGATGTTAATTGCGATAATGCTTTTAATTTGAAAGTGAGGCAAAAACAGGTCAATGTAAAACATAGTGAGTTGGATAGGTATGTTGAGGATGAAAATAAAGATTGTTCAGATCTTTCATTTAATATTTTGGATTGCTAGAAAGGAAAATCTACAAAGTATTAGGTCATTTCTCGAATGGCTAGAGATATATTAGTTATATCAGTGTCTATCGTTTCCTCTCAATCAACTTTTAATATAGGTGGTCGGATACTTTATCTATTTCGTAGTTGTTTGAATTTCAATACTCTTGAAGCGTTGATTTGTATCCAAAATTATAAATAAACTCAATGATCTATATTCTAGCCATGTGTTTATTTCAATTTATTTTAGGATTGTGATTCAAGTGGAAAAGGAATTAAAATTTATTTTGGTTGTATCTTGTTAGTTGATTGTAAACTAATGAATTTGATGGCATTTTGTATTTGACATGATGATGAACTTATTTTAGTTTTATTAGTCACTATCAAGTGTCAATTTTTTGTATTTGATGGTAAACTTATTTTGGTTTTATTTATCACTTCTAATTGCCAACTTCGGTATGTTATGGTGAATTTATTTTGGTTATATTAGTCAATGTTAAATGTCAATTTTTATATTTAATGGTGAACTTGCAATAAAAATCATGTTATTGTTTTATATAGATTAAATACAACTTCTAAATCGTTTAAAAAATAGAACATAGAATAGATAAAATAAATTATTTAAAAAATTAATAATAGAAAATACACATGATAACATATAGAATTGAATATAATGTTAAAAAAAATGTAATGGACAATTTGGTTTTAGTTTTTAAGAATACTAAAAATTAAATTAAAGTGATAAAGATATCCCTGATTCATATATTTTTTAACCCAAAATTAACTCAAACCGAACCGATTATATTAGTGAGTATTAGAATTATAAAATTAAAAATTAAGAAAAAAAAAACAACATAAATAATTATATTTCAGCCATTGAAAAATTCCCAAATTTTAAAATTCAAACTGACAATGAGAGGTGTTCAGATTCTAATATCTGAACATAAACCAACAAAAAACAGAAGAAAATACAATCTGAATAAATAAATCAAAACCCATTATATGTATGTAAATAAACATATTAATGTATACTTTCATATATCAATATATGGATTTATAAACTATTTTTATTCAAAAATAATAATCCAAAATCCATTATGTATCACACATTGTGATGATGATCCGTCGGGGTGCCATCTAAATGAAGAATTGAAGATTTCCAATTGGTTTGGGTTGAGTTCTTGTAGGGGTCTTCATCTAGAAAAATCATCGGGTTTGTCCTCCAACATCATTTGTTGAGTTGGAGATTTTCGTGCAAGAACGTGCGAGAAGGAATCTTTTATGTGAAAAATCTCTTGAAGTGTTTGAAAAATTTTCAAGAAACCTTTGAGTGGTTGGAATCTTTTTAAGGAAGTAGTAAGAATTGGATGATAGAATCGGTGATCTTATGTTGACAGTTTGCAATTGGATTTACTCGAGTGAAAAATCCCTTGGAGTGTTTGAAATCTTTGTAAGAAACCTTGTGGTGTTTGAAATATTTTTAAGGAAGTAACTTAAGCGGCGAATAGGTTGCATCTATCGGTTGATTTGATCTTTCTTAAGATCAAAGGTTGGGAGAAGGAGCGTCAACACCAAATTGGAGAATTTTGGGTTGTTGTTTCTAACTCTTCCATTGTATTAAATATTTGGCATATAAGAATTATCCTAGTTCCATTGGAATTAGGCGCAGATGTACCCCCACGCGAAGACGACAGTGGAGAACTGTGTAGACAAATTTCTTGTGTGTTTTTACTTTTCGGCTTTTACTTATTTTCCATTTCATCAATCTTTTTATCAAATAGCATTGCGATAGTAATTAAATTGTAAGAATTTTTCTCTCAAAATCTGTTTTTGAAATAGGTGTAGATATAGCTTATAATCAAATTTGATTATAAGTAGTTTTGTATATCAACACTACTCAAAGAGAAATTCAGAAAATTCACTTGCACGCCAAGTGTTTGATAAAATGATCATGTTAGTTCTTTGATTATTTAGCCTTGAAAATAGCATTGCAAAATGATTGTGTTCAAATAATAATAAGTGGATTGTTGATTTGAGTTTGTATTAATCAATTACTCAATTTTATCTCATAAATTTATCTTTCATAATTTACATATCCGAGTTTCCAATAAGTTGCTTTTAGACGACTTATCCAGTTAATTACTGCTGCATCAAAAAGTTTTGAAAACAAATTAAATTTTAGATTTGTGTCTAGAAATATTTTTTCGCCTCTATTCACCCCCTCTAGATACGCGTCGTTGTATAACAAGAGCTTCCGTTTAATAGACAACATAGTGGATGAACTCACACTTAAGGGGTGGTTATTGAGAAACAAGTGTGAGTTGTGTTGAGAAACAAGTGTGAGTTCCAAGTCTAATTTTACTTAGGAAAGTGGAGGTTGAACATTTTATAAGTGAGAGGACTCATACATCTATCACCTTAAGATTTTTGGTGAATATGTGGTATCTCTCTCACTTGTTTGGGTGAGTCTTTGACCTTTAGGAAAGTATTTGACCCAATATGAATACTTCCCCCTCATGATGATCCAATAATAATTTGTTAAAGGGGAAGTTCATGCATTTGAGGTGCATAACACATATTTTAAACTTGATTGATAGCGATGGGTTAAAGATGATCGATGGATCCATTAACAGGTAAGGGTTGCTTGTAAGTTTGTTAAGTCATAGTCAACTATATTATCTTCTTTTAGAATGTGTGTACGTGAGTGTAACATAGACAGTAATACAATGCTAGAACTTGATGTTAGAAGTTGTCAAATATGAAAATATAGTTAATCGATTTTGATATCAAAATAGTTTATTTAGTGTGTTTTTTTACTGGTGAAGGAGTGAATATTTTTATGAATATTGATTGAGAATGTACTCGTGTGTTTTTAAAATTTGTGAAGGTCTTTTGTGATGCAACTCTTTCATTTTCCAGTTCATTTTCGCATGTTAATACTAATACTTTTATCAAAAAGTTGTGCGAAATTAAAAAGTCATTGTAGAAATGATCAAATAGCGAGGATGTTGTATTGAGACATATCACTTACAAATATGCAACTAAAATTTAGCAAGTATTGGGATAGTGGTTATATCAACTTTTTTTGTTTGTAGATGTTGTCGTAAATCCTCTTTATAAATATGATTCTTTGAGTTCTGTTTTAATAAGATGTATAGTAGTGCAAATGGCAAAGATATGCTAAAAATATTGAAAGAACTTGTTCAAAAATTGTTTGAGTATTATGAGTTTGAGTATCCCATTCCTATTGTGTTTAATAGTGCATCCTCAATTTATTCTACACAATCTAACACAAGTCAATTTGCGTTTGATGATGATGTTGATTGCGATAATGCTTTTAGTTTGAAAGGGAGGCAAAAACAGGTCAATGTAAAACAGTGAGTTGGATAGGTATGTTGGGGATGGAAATAAAGATTGTTTAGACCTTTCATTTAATATTTTGGATTGGTGGAAAGGAAAATCTATAAAGTTTTATGTCATTTCTCGAATGGCTAGAGATATATTAGCTATACTAGTGTCTATCGTTTCCTTTTAATCAACTTTTAATATGGGTGATCAGATGCTTTACCCATTTCGTAGTTGTTTGAATTCCAATACTGTTGAAGCATTGATTTGCATTCAAAATTAGAAATAAATTCAATGATCTATATTCTAACCATGTGTTCATTTCAATTTATTTTAGGATTCTGATTCAAGTGAAAAAGAAATTATAATTTATTTTGGTTGTATCTTGTTATTTGATCGTAAACTAATGAACTTGATTGTATTTTGTATTTGACATGATGATGTATTTATTTTAGTTTTATTAGTCACTATCAAGTGTCAGTTTTCGTATTTGATAGTAAACTTATTTTGGTTGTATTTATCACTTCCAGTTGCCAACTTTTATATGTTATGGTGAATTTATTTTAGTTATATAAGTCAATATTAAGTGTCAAGTCAATATTAAGTGTCAACTTTCGTATTTAATGGTGAACTTGCAATAGAAATCATGTTATTATTTTGTATGGATTAAGTACAATTTCTAAATCATTTGAAAATAGAACATAAATTATATGAAATATATTACTCAAAATATTAATAATTGAAAATACTCATGATAATATATAGAATTGAAAATAATGTTTAGAAAAAAGTTCAAACGAACTAAATCAATTAGTTTGGTTCTGAATACTAAAAATTAAATTAAAGTGATAAAAATATCGCCGGTTCATATTTTTTTTAACCCAAAACTAACTCAAACCGAACCGATTATATTACCGAGTATTAGAATTATAAAATTAAAAATTAAGAAAATAATAACTTAAATAACTATATTTCAGCTAATGGAAAATTCCCAAATTTTAAAATTCAAACTAACAATGAACAATGAGAGGTGTTCAGATTCTAATATCTGAAGATAAACCAACAAAAAACAGAAGAAAAAATAATCTGAATAAATAAATCAAAACCCATTATATGTATGTAAATAAACATATCAATGTATACTTTCATATATTAATATATGGATTTATAAACTATTTTTATTCAAAAATAATAATCCAAAATCCATTCTGTATCACACATGAGTTTCTTTATTTAAGAAAATCTCCACTAAACAAACAATAATTGTGAAATAGCTGCTAATTAAATAGTTTAGGACAGGCACAAATTAAGAGTTATTACTGCCCCTATTAAAATGAAAGACCAGTAAACAAAGCAAAGTGCATCAATAGAACCTACATAACATTATCAATTACACAAAAACCTTCTCAAAGAATGGTGAATATTAAATGAATCTCTTCAAAATATCTAATTGCCTAACAAGGGTTACTGTGATAATAGGCCAAGACCTGCTTCTAAATCTTCCAATGTAATGGTAAGAAGTTCTTCTGTATCTATACAGTCATAACTAAGTCTTAGGTCCAAACTTTCTCTTGCATTAACCAACATGGTATCGACCAAACCACCGTTCGCTTCCTTCCGTTGTTTTTCGGTTGTTTCCCTTTCTATCAAGGCCGATATAGCTTCTATACTGCATTCAGAATGCAACTTAAATCCAAATAGTAAACTATCTTCTGCTAAGCTGTTCATCTTGATGTGAAGGATTGTTGCTAGTTCCTCTGAACTGAAATCGATAAAATGAAAAAACTTGGTCACCCTTCTGCAAAAACCTTCGTTGGAAGCTATTACTCGTTTCATCGGTTCGCTGTACCCTGCGAATATTACTACGATTTTTCCACTGTCCATGACTGACATTATCTCCTCCAGTGCTTCCAATCCGTAGTCCTTATCGTCTGCCTTCTGCATTGGTATCAGCCTATAAGCTTCATCAACAAAAAGAATCCCCCCTTCTGCTTGTTGGATCTGTATAAAACATGATTATCAAATCGAGATTCAAATCGTAGAAAAAGAATTTCAAAGCCAATAACATACCTTCCTCCTGGTTTTTGGACCAGTATGACCGACAAACTCGCCAACTAAATCTGTCCGTTGAACTTCTGTCACTTTATCAGTAGGTAGAATTCCCACCATATGAAGTAATCTCCCAAGGATCCGCGCTACCATAGTTTTACCTATTAAATATGAATGTCAACTTACGGAAAGCACACAATTCATAGAGAATAAACGATGTACTACGAAATAATTGTATGCATGATATTCAAAATATAACCTGTTCCAGGATTTCCGAGAAAGGCCATATGAGGGGGTCGTCTAGTGCCAACGTGCAGACCAAGAGCTCTACGCCTCTCATCCAAAAGCATGCCTTTAGCCCACTTCCGTAGCTGTATTTTTAGATCATAAAGACCAACAATATTTGAAAGTTCCTTTTCAAGTTCATCCATCTTAGCTTTGGTTTCACCGCACGCTTCAATAGCTCGCCTCTTTCTCTGCTCTTCAAGATGCTTGTTTAATAGTTCCCTAAGTTTCTCATTTCCAGGGCCTTGCGAAAGATGATTCAATGGCGTCATTTCCTCCTGCAATTCATAGGCTTTAAGCATCTACTGTGATTAACCAAAAAGCTATTTAGCGAAAAGAAAAATAGAGATAAAACTTAATACATTGTCCTTTGCACTGCAATCGGCATTATGTTCAAGCAATATTTTCACAGTTAAGAATTCTTCTGCTCTTAATGAGTGCCAAACTGCAAGGTGTAAAGGTGTCATACCATTCTGCAAGAAAAAGGTCATAACAAACTTTTCAATGAATTATTAAGAAACATAAAAACAATTCTTGTTTGGTTTTTTATTAGATTATATGGATTTTCTTATTTGAACTTATCTACTGGCATAAACACTTTAGAGTTGTTTGGTAGAGTATATTTCCGCTTATTTCTATAAACTCTGCAAGACAACTTATGAAAACTGTTTGACCTGATCTTATCTTCTGTTATAGAAATAGCTTGTACATAAGCCCTTATATGATAAACGTTCAAAATATAAACTCTTAATTAAAGGATAAATGAAGTGAGAAAAAAAAATACATTTGCTCTTGCTTCCACGGAAGCACCGCGTGCAAGAAGTAACTGTGCTGCCTCACTACACCCGTTCTTTGCTGCCATGTGCAATGGAGTTTCTCCATACTGCAGAAGTGATACAAAGAAAAGTTTTGACAATTACAAACAATAACCAGAACTCAAACAATAACTTAAGTAGAAAAATTGATGGCACCAACCATATTCTTAGCCTCTATCTCAACTCTCTCTGATCCTTGCCACTCAAGAAGAAATTTAACTATCTCAGCCCTATTGTTACCTGCAGAAACGTGAAGAGGTGTTTGTGCCATCTGCATTTAAAACAGGTTTGATCTTCAGCATATAATAATTTGAATTCAAGATAAACCCTAAAGTAAGAAATCACAATGCAGGTACATAATTACACAGATCCAGATCTGTTGCGGTAAAAAAAGCACGCAGTTAGACGCATTAATCGATCTCAGCCATCAATTTGAACTCGATCAGCCAAGATCAATACCCGTGTCATGCAGTTACTACGTGGAATCCAAATCCATTACTACATATGCATGCCAAGCAATAAACTTACTAATGAAGTACACACCATTTTTTCAAAAATAAAATACAAAAACAATGCTGTTCAATCCCATGGGGGGAAAACTGAACAAATGATGAGCAAAGAGAAACCATAAAAAATATCTCAGGAAAAAGTCTAATCAAAGATTCTTCCCCTAGAAGACCTCTTCAACCAAATACATAAAAATCAATTGCCAATAAGACGGACTCTCCTAAGCAATCTCTAGCGTGGCTAATCTATTCAAAACCAAAGGCACCATGCATGTCTCACATTTTTCTTTTGATTAATCTATAAAGCATATTGCATTGAAAAATTACAATTCTAGCAAAAATGCAATACTAATCCAAGGGGATCAATTCCACCGTCCACTTGCAGATAGACCATTTAAAGTCAAAACAAAACTCCGCATGGACTTGACTCAACACAGGAATTGTTAACACCTAGCAGGATTAGAATCTAAGATCTTGAGAGGAGCACACTCTCAGGACCCAAGCTTTTACCAGGCCAACCTCAGGGGGCCAGCAATATCAATCTATGTAGCACCAACACATCGGATTGAACACAACATGTGTAGTTAATCAAATTATTATAATTACAAGGGTTTCATTGTTTAAGTGTTGCGCATGTGCTTCATAGCCAACAAGTAATCAAATCAAGATAACCTGATCTTTCATAACTCATCACATACATGAACAAATATTCCTTTTGATTGAAGAAAAAAACCAGATTACATCATTCCAAACCCTCAATTCACATCACAAGCAACATTTTTTCTTAAATAAACCCATAAAGATCAAATATTTTCAAAAGTTAAGAAAGATCATACAAAAAAAAAGGCACAACAACAATAATAACGAATTGGTAAAAATGAAGGGAAAATGGAAATCTTACAACAGGGTTTCTCTCATTGAGAAGAGAAGGATTCTCACGAAGTAACTTCTGAAGTCCAAGAAGATCAGCAGACAGAGCACAAGTATGGATTGTAGGAGGTTTTGCAGGTCTTGACCTTTGATCTTGAGACCTATTCATTCTGAAAATCTCAAAGATGAGGAAGAAAGAGAAAGAAGAGAGAGAAAAATAGAGCGTTGTTCTCTAATATTTGGAGCTAAATATGCGGCGTGAGTGTTTGATGGCACACAGAAATTTGCGATTCTAATATTAACTATTTGTTTAAATATTTCATTCTTTTCAAAACCTTCTAATAGAATTACTTTGAATTCAGTTAAAATGTTTTAAACCGAAGTTATAATCGATTATGAAGATGAAATCGATTGTGATAATCCATTAATTATAGTCGTGGCCTAATCAATTATGGTGCGGATTCGATTCTAAAAATTTTGTTTTCTTCACCAAATTTGTTACTATAAAGGAGGATGTGTGTTTATTTATAATCACACAGAAATCTAAATATTACTATTTTTTTCACTCTCACTCTCTTGAAAGTTGGTTAATATGTTTGTGTTATAATTGTAAATTAAGATAACTTTGTTTTCTTGTAAACTTGAATATCATTATGAAGGTTGTAAATTGAACATGGGATAAAAATATGGTGTACGATGGTTGTGTGATGATCTTGTGATAAAAATTATATTGTTAGTGGAATTTTAAAGGGAAAATCCTTAAGGACTCAAGTTGGTTTTATAGTTTAAGGTTGAACTAATATAATTTTTTATATGTTCTTTCCTTTTCTTTTTTCTCTTTATATTTCTATTATTTACTCTTCCGTGCATATCATGTGTCTCTTCGTTTTTTTAAAAATCAATTTTTTCTATAAAATTTAAAAAATATTTTTTATCACAATTTATCCCGCTCTTATGTTTGAAGTCATTTAGATAACAAGTGGTATTGAAGTTTTAGTTCGGCTTTGTGTGTGTGTGCCTGAAGTCTGAGGCGATGATCTAGGCTTTGCGAATACATTGCGGCTTAGAGGCAATGCAATGAGTTCGGATAATACATTGCAGCTTAGAGGCAATGTAATGAATTTTGAGAATACATTGCGGCTTAGAGGCAATGTAATGGGTTTTGAGAATACATTGCGGCTTAGAGGCAACGTACATAGTTTTGATAATTCCTTACGGCTTAGAGGCAATGTGTTGGGCTTGTAAGGAACTCATCACTGCGGGAAGACTTAAGTGATGGACTGAACGTGTCACGACATGAAGACTGAGGTGACGGGTTAAATCGTAAGAGAAGTATTGCGTTGGTCGACCCTTAGATAGTTGAATCGAGGGTGAGATTGTTTGTTTGTTTGCTATGTGATACATGTGTATGCATGCGTATTGAATGTTGTATGTATGTGAAATGTATGATGTTTGACATTGATATGGAACCCTGGGTGTATTGAATATTGAAATGTATAGGGTATGTATGCTTTAGATATACAAAGTGTATGTGTGAAATGTATGTAAGATGCGTATATGCCTTGAAATGTTATGAAGACCATTTCTGGCATTCTCTCCTTTAAACCATTGGCTTAGAGTTACCAATTCCTGGCGTTGTATGTTGTTTCGTCGTAGCATTGTTGAACTTGAACGCAGTGGACGATGTTAGCAAAATTTAAACATTGATTTTGTATTATGAGCGCGGGTGTAGACGTAGACGTAGGTAATGGCCTATGTGTAGGTTTGTATGTTGTAAGCGCAGGCGTAAGCGTAGACGTATGTATAGAATTGGCAGGAGTACACATGTGCGTGGACGCATGTGCGGACGTAGACTTTGTGTTACAAGTGTAAGCATAGGCGCTGACACGTATATGGACGTAGACTTCGTGTACGGACGTGTAGACGTAGGAGTAGATATGCATAGATTTTGTATTGTTGAGTGCAAGCATAGGCGCAGACGTGGACGTAGTCTTTTTGCATCGTGAGCGTAGACTTTTTGCATCGTGAGCATAGATATAAGCGTAGACACGTGTATAGATTTTTGTGTTGCAAGGCGTAAGAGTAACCATATGGGTGGACGTAAACATGGATTTTCTTTCGATATTTTTCTAACCAAAACGCTTTTTCGATGTTTTGTCAAATGCTTTTATTTTGTTAGTCCCCCGAAATGATTTCAAGATAATATTCACAAGTAATGATCGTAGTATTTTGTAAACAGGTATGAGAAAAGAAAAAACACAATTTGGAAAATGCAAAGAAAGCAAATGTTTTATTGATATGCCTCTGAATGGGCGAGGGTACACGGTGCAATTCCTAGAAAGAGGTAATTACAGAAAGTTTTAAAACTGTAAATGGTAATGAAAGATGATAATTGCTACTGTTGTTCCCCGATGTCCTTTTAATGATCTTATCTCCTTTGCTTATAAGTTGAATGATTCATATCTATCTCTCCCTTCGTGGTTCGTAGTCACAGTTCTTAGATCACAGTCTTTTTGTTCTTTATTTCTTTGTATGAAATCCCTAACTTTTGCCTGGATTGCCCTTGTGAGTTTTCAATCCACCAGGATAATTTTTTTGTTATATGCCCTTAATTTTTTCCTGGGTCGCCCTTTAGGGTTTTCGATCCACCGGGATGCTCCTTTTTGCCTAAGTCGCCCGTTTAAGGTTTGAGCTTAGCGAGCTTCTTATACATAGTATTTTTTACTGCGTCTGAATTTTTCAGATGCGGTAGTTCTTCCCCATCAATTGTTGTGAGGATAAGATTACCACCAGAGAATGTTGTTTTGACTACGTACGGACCTTCATAATTGGGGGTTCGTTTACCACGTGAGTCGAGACGAGGTAGCAGAATCTTCTGGAGCACTAGACCATGTCGTGGTCCATCTCGTGTAGTATACTGTTTCTCAAAGAATTTCAAGGCTAATTTTCATAGAGTTTGCTTGCCGATGCTAGAGTCATTTTCTGGATGTCCTTGGTTTTCCAGGTACTCCTTGATTTCATAAAACCAAGGCTTGTCATCTGGTCTTTCTTTGATAGCAAGACAAAGTGCGGGCTCTTGATTGTGTCTGTTTGTGATGCGCGATTCTTGGTTTTACCAAGTTACTTTGAATATAAACGATATAGTTGCCAGGGCGTGATTGAAAATGATTTTTGTGAATTCCGCAGTCAGTTTTCAAAACATGATCCCGATATGGAACCAGTTTAGTATCTCGTTCACCATTGACTTGACATATGGCTTGTGGTCATTCTCTGGAGAAGTCAATACTGCCCCTATATCGTGCCCCGATGCATTTGAAGTCTCGTCGAACATGGATACCCAACGTGCCCCTGGCTCGGGTTCTTTGTCAGATCTTGGTATTTCGTAGTTGCTCATTTTTATAGCACTGTCTGTATTTGGCCTTGGCCTGTTTCTGTAGATATGTGCAACAACTTGATCATCTTCTTTGTGGATCCGCTCTAACATTGTCCCTTAGCTTGGTTTCTTCCGGGTCTTCCCCTGTGCTCAGATTAATGGTCTTAATAGCCTCTTGATATAGTTGTGTATCGTTAGCTTTTCCTTTTATTTCCCTCGCCATTTTCTCAGAGATTTCAAGATCTTTATCATCTTCCTCTTTAGCTTGGTTAATAGGAGCATCAAAATTACATTGGATCGCAGCAGTAACATTATCGGTGGTTTCGGGCATGAATTTTCACCTTTATCATGTTTTGGTGCAGATTTAGTATATGAAATTTGAAAATGCATATGCAGAGAAAGTATTGCCATTTTTAAATTTAAGATATAAATGCAAGAGAAAGGAAGGGATCTTAATTGAAAACAAAATATAACTTTTATTAATCGTAAATATTGTCTGGAACAAAACAGGGAAACCCTTACAAGCAACCCTTATGCCTCGGGCTTGACACAGGTTCTTTCAAAAACAAGAAAAATTAATTAGGAAAGAAAAAGATCTCAGGAATCTCCATGGTCGTCCATCTTTTGAGTTTTCTCTCCTGGGGCGCATTCTTGGATAAATTCAGTTGCCCCTTTGGTGTTGGCTTTGTTGATTATTTTTCCCCATGTCCGCCACGCACTACTCCACTGTTGACAAAAGTCTCTTGGATCGGAGAAAAATGTGCTTCACCCTTCAGAGTAGCTTTATATTTTTCTTCAGGGTATTGTCTGAACTGGACTATCCCCTGGTCCCTTAGCCTTTGTAGAGTTCTTTCAAAAGCTTCATTATGTTCTCGCGGGAGTCCACATCCCAATGAATATTCTTTCAGCGAATTTATTGGGATTTTTGCTTGTCCGCTTGCCCCAGAGTCAATGGCTACTTCAATTGAGTTTATTGTCAGTCCATTGTGCGACGACGTAGGGTCTGATGTGATGTTGGGCTTCTCGAAAGTGATGTCTTGAGAATCCAACAAATCATGCACCTTGTGCTTGAAAGGCCAACACTGCTCTATGGTATGTCCAGAAGAATTAGCATGATACTCGCATCCAGCGTTGGCATCATACCTTCATGGGAGTGGCCCAACTGGAAGAGCTAGAGGCTTGAGTTCCATTAAGGATGCCTTAACTAGCTGTTGTAATAGCTGACTGTGTGGCATCGGGAGCGGATCAAATTTCCTGGGTGGCCTTCTGCCTTGCTTTTGTCCTAGGGGATCATTAATGGTTATTAAACCTTGGGTTGTGGCACTACAACATTAATCTTTCCCTCCTTTCCTTTGGTGAAGTTTGAAGCAGGTCGTTTTGAATTGTAGGGAGCATTTGATGGTCCCCCTGATATCTTCCCACTTTTTATCCCAGTCTCGATTCTTTCTCTGATGGTTACTAGGTCTGAGAACCCTGAAGAGATACTTCCAACCATCTTCTCATAATACAACCCTTTCAAAGTCTCCATGAATGTGTCTACTAATTCTTTCTCCAATAGTGGTGGTTGCACACGGGATGCCAACTCCCTCCATCTCTGAGCATACTCCTTGAAGGATTCTTCTTTCTTCTGGGACAGATTCTGGAGTTGCATGCAGGTAGGCGCCATGTCCAGGTTATATTTGTAATTCTTTAGAAAAGCGTTAGCAAGATCTCCCCAGGTTCGAATATGCATTCTCTCCAATTGCATATACCAGTCTGAAGATGCCCCACTCAGGCTATCTTGAAAATAATGAATC